AAGTCAAAACGCCCCAGTTGGCGTTCTGGTCCTTAACTCTGCGTCCAAGGCTTGAGACGCAGAGTTAAATCTCTGTTAGAGATTTGGGACGCATAGGCCGCTTCGTGTGTTGAGTTCTCAAGTCTGTGTTCTGGATTTAGGATGCAGTGTTGAGTGTTTGCCAAAGAACGTACAGTTCGTGTGTTTTGTGTTTTAACTCTGCGTTGCAGAGTTGGATGTCTTTTGGAGAACACACAGTTCATCTGTGTTTTGAATCTGAGAAACGCAGAGGTGAGTTCTGTGTTTGAGAGAGGTTGTTGACTTGTAACCTCATCCATTATAACATTGCAAAGGCTACTGCTTATTGATCTTTACCTGTTATAGGATATGAGAGTCGTCAGATTGTAACTCTCACTGTTGATTGTGAAGGTAACTGAATAGAGTTTTCATCAGCTGTCGGAAGTTTCGTTGAATTGTAACTCTTCTCGATCTGTGTGAAAAGTCCCTTATTTGCAACCTTCATTTGTCAGCACGAAAGCTATTTGATTGTAGCTTTCATTATTGAAGCTTGACGGGAATCAATCATCCATAGTGATTTTTAGACGAATATTTGCCCACAGCTCTCTACCAAGCAACTCACCAACTAAGTCCAACCTTTTATTTCTGAAATCATTACACTGCTCATCAGCGTCTCTAATAGTTGCTAATATAATATTAGTCATGTTGTTGTCGCAGCCATCAAGATCAATCATCTCAGAGATGAGGTCGTATTTGTAGCGATTGTAGAGTTGAGGCTGTAGTGGTTAGAAAGTCGTCTGATTGTAACTTCCATTGTCGGGGCTTAATAGGGACTAGCTATCCATTGTGATTTTTAGACACCCTACAGAACCCCCTCTAAAGTTTTTGAAAGTTCGCGGTTGACTGGGACGAATTTTTGGAATACTTTAGATCCCAAAATTTAGTAAATCGATTGCTCATTCCGTCTAATCTGAAGACATTGTCGAACTTGGTTGTTGGAATGCTGAAATCCTGTTTCCTCAAACCAAACAAGATAGCTTTTGAGTCCTGATAACAACGAACTTAGTCAAACAAACTAAATCCCAAGTCATCGTCTGACTCGCCGACAGGCTCGTCCTTTTTCCTTTTTTCCTTGGAGGCAAGAACAATAGCGTTCTCAATAGATACAATAGAGATAACAGCAACAACAAGGACGTTCTTGTGGGTATTGACGAACATGTGAAGAGCAGCTGCAAGAGAGTGAAGGATAACAAAGTAACCATAGAAACACCATCTGCAAACTTGTCAGCGAGGTTGTCTTTCGTGAGATCGAGTAATTCTGCATAGAAACACCATCTGCAAACTTGTCAGCGAGGTTGTCTTTCGTGAGATCGAGTAATTCTGGGCTTAAGACAGATCCATTGTCATAGACAGGGAGAATCGAGGTTGTCTTTCGTGAGATCGAGTAATTCTGGGCTTAAGACAGATCCATTGTCATAGACAGGGAGAATCACAAGCCCATATGGGAGGGGCTTTATTCTAAATGTGGTTAGGAGGACAGCCTCAGAAGATTCTTACTCTATTTCTTTTCTTGATCAGCTCAACTTATTCTTTGTTGGAATGTTAAGCCAGTTAGAAGAATGGTTTGTGCGCTGGGTCGAATCGGCTTTCGTGTTGCTGATTATAATCTGCCTGTACCCATCTAATAGACTCCACAGTGGAGTTGTCTGTTTCTTCTTGGCCTTAGTCACTTTGACAGCTGACATCAGACTCCCTCTATTTATTTGGAACCATGTCTTGGCTTTAAACATAGAGGAATTTGTTTGGTTGAGTTAGAACGCACAGGTAGATTTCTTGTGTTATCGAATTGAAACGCAGAGTTAAATCCTGCGTTTAGGAGCTTAATTAATGTAGACGCACATGTAAATTTCCTTGTGCTAAAACATTAAAACGCAGGGTTGAACTCTGCATTCGGAAGTTCAAGCAACGCTGACGCACAGGTAAATTTCCTTGTGCTAAAACATTAAAACGCAGGGTTGAACTATGCGTTCGGAAGTTCAAGCAACGCTGACGCACAGGCCATGTTCGGCGGGATTCTGGGCCTAGAATCTCGCCCCGATTTGACAGCTCATAGCTGTCTATAAATAGACCGCTAAGGGTCAAATCAAAAGTCATCTGACTTTTTGCCTCCTCTTTTTCGAAAGATTTTTAACGAAGACTCTTCGTTTTCTTACTCCGGCGAACCCTGTTCATCCTCTCCGATCTTCATCTTCCATGGGTCCGAAAAAGAAGACTGTTACTCGTCCAACCGCCGTCACAGGCTTCCCTCGTCGGTGGTAAGTACCGAACTCTACGGCCACCAAACTTGCTTCGACGAGTTTTTTGAAAACCCTAGATGGATTCTTGTGAACGAGGAAGACGACTCGTTTTGATTCTGTAACGCAGAGTTGGGGCTTTGCATTTTGAATTTGAAACATCGAGGCCTAACCCTTGCGTTAACAAATTTTTAACGCTAGATCTGAACTGTGCGTCGGGAAATTTAACACAGAGTTCAATCTCTGCGTTGACAAACTTTAACGCCAGGTCGCTACTGTGCGTTTGGACATTTAACGCAGAGTTCGACCTCTGCGTTGATAAACTTTTAACGCCAGATCTGAACTGTGCGTTTGGAAGCTTGACGCAAAGTTTGACCTTTGCGTTAATAAGCTTTTGAACGCCCTATTTGAACTGTGCGTTTAGGAGCTTGATGCAGAGTTCGACATCTGCGTTAATAAACTTCTGAACGCCATATTTGAACTGTGCGCTTGAAAGCTTTCTCTCTTTCTAGAGATTTGATTAGAGTTCCCTCTTGTTTTTATTTCCTCATTGGCTAACTGAGTACTTTTCTCTTTTTGCAGTGCCCTACTCCCGCGAACCTCTTACTCTTCGCCACCATTTCTGCAGTGCCCTACTCCCGCGAACCTCTTACTCTTCGCCACCATTTCGGGCGCGAAGGTGGCGTCGATTCCAATATGCAATTCAATCTGTGCCAGGAACTCCCAATTTTTCAGGATGCAGACAAGGATCGTATTACCCTAATTTCCAATCCAAGCCCAGCTGTACTCAGGATTTTGGTGACGGACGCCAAATTCGAAACCGACTCTCGTAAAAAACTTACCAAACTAGCATTCCTGTTTGGCGATCATGTCGTCATTAAAAAAGAAATCGTGACTGGCGGCCGCTATAAGTGGTTGAGGCAAATAGGAGATCGCCGTTTCTTTCTCCCTGATATGCATAAGATGTTTCCTATCGCTTACTATCAGTGTGCTTCCGTCCCTCGACATATGGACTGGGACCTTGTCCGGGAGCAAGATGGAGTAGCTATCGGGGCTTTGACCTACACAGGCGTACACATTGTAGGTTACAATCGACAAGTGTCTGTTTTGGAGCCCTGCTTGTTCTCACGGGGGTATCATTTGGGAGAAACAGTTAGTACGGCCAATACTTTTATGCGAAGATTTCTGGCCACAAAAGGAGAGTTCCCCTCCTCAGTATTCAGGGCTCCTAGATGGGTACACTCTACAGCATGGTGGACGCGAATGACAGACTTTATAATAACAGAATTAGAGGGATCTTTAGCTCAGTCTGGGCTTGCTTGTCCTGTAATAGCTACCAGACATGGTATTGACTACAACTATTACAATTTTTATGCTGTTTTGGAGAACTATAACCCGGAGACGTGTACATTCTTCACACCAGTGGGGGAATTGGGGTTTGCCCTCCATGAAATGTATGATGTTTCGGGTCTTCCTTTTGGAGATTTGCCCTATGAGGAGTTCGTTCCAGGATCAAACGAGCTCAGGATTTTGAAGGAGAAGCATCCTGACGTCTATGACACTCTATGGGAGGTGATGTGTCATTTTCAAATCTGTGCTCAACTGACGGGGGCCCGAGGACGTGGTATAAAGCAGCTATCCTGGGCTGATTATCTATTCCAGAACTTATCTCACAAAACAGCTGATGTGTCTCGCCGGAACGCGAGTGCCCCTGAGACAATCCAAACTCTGATCAACGATGCTACTGCCCATTATGTCAACGAGGGATTGGAAGAGGACTTCCCTGCACAGACTGAGTTTGAAAGTTTCCATCACCAGGCTGCTGTGCCTATTTCTGACAGGGCCTTGTTGGCCGGCTTCCTCATGTTGTGGCTCAAGCGATGTGTCGTCCCTACGAGGCCCATAAATGCTGTGATGATAGAGGTAGTCTACCCGGCTGTCCTCTTAGCTTACGGGAGACCTGTGAACTTGCTTTCAGCTATGACTTGCTGTTTGCAGCATGATTTGAGGGAGTTGTGCCTCGAATTCATTCAGGTGAAGGAGGTAGAATCTGAAGGAAAGAAGAGTCTGGTGACACCAAATCCTCGAGTTCCTCTGCCATATACCTATTTGATGGCATGGTACGTATCTCATTGCCCTCTTTTGATGAGTGCCCCATCTCCATCGGATGAGGGGTTCATCCCTTTTGTGCAGCGATTAGAAGAAGCTTCCTGGGAAGGCACGTATGTCGTGAGGGTCCGTCAGATTTTGTCGAGAGACCTCAATTATCAACTATTCCGCTGTTTCCCAGACTTTGAAGGCGGTGACTATGGGCAAGTGTTCCAAGATACGGCTGGTTCAGATGGTTTTACCCGCTTAGATGGAGGGGTTTTCCACTGGCTCTTGAATATTAGACCAGGTTATCTCTTCTTTAGGCAAAATAACAAATGCATAATCGAGCCGTATCAGCCATATCGGTTTGCTCGCCAGTTCGGGTACGACCAATTATATGTTGGGAATCCCCGGAGTCAGCTTGCAATTGTTGGCAACATATACGAATGAGCTAGGGCCTGGTACTACTCCACTACAGGCTGCACTGGAGCTACCTTTAGGTTACCTCACAAGACGCCCAATTCTCTTTCATCCATACCTTTTTGTAACTGGTATCATACAGCCTCCAAGATACCTGATTACAGGTTGAATTTGTCGGGGCTATGGGAAATTAGGAAGATGTACTCATCCAGAAGAGGAGCCCGGGTATCTCGTCTGAAGGGAATCAATGAGTTCTTATCCTTCGAAGATGAGACTGAAGGAGGAGGAGGAGAAGGAGGTCTGGGGTCAGAGAGTGCTCCAGTAGCGAGCCCTAAAGCTGCTGATACTTCAAGAACCAAGGCAGCTGGAAAGAGGGTTCTTACCGAAGCAGAAGAAGTTCAGTACGAGAAACGTACTTGCAGAAAACTGCTAGTAGACCCTCCTGCTGAGAAGTTGATGGCGGATGCTTTTAAATCTGTCGGTGGAGAGGAAGAACAAGAACCAGTTGCTGCAAGTCATCACGATCCCATAGGTCCTCATTCTGGGGGTGCTACATTTTCTGAAGCATTCTCTTCTCAATGTCCTTTGGACCCGGAAGAGGGTGGAGATGAATCCCTGATTGGGGATATAGAGGCCTCTCCTGACATTTCACCTTTTTCAGAGCTAGCTCCAGGTGTTACTCCTTCATCTACAGGGGCACTGCCTGCAACGTCTCCATCTGAAGGGGTTAAACTTCCTACAGGCGAACTGGTGACAGATGAACTTGCAAATGTTAATGAGAGTCAGTCTCCCACCTCCTCTGCACTATTGCCACACTCGGAGGCCATTATTCCTAGTCCAACGACTAGTCGAATGATTATAGTGGATACGACTGCGAGTTCTCCGGGAGCTTCAGCTGCAGACGATGACGAACCGTTAGACTATGGAAGCTCCTCTCGCAATGATGATGTTGATGAGAATGAAAGTGATGGTGACGATTCCGCTGGCTGGGCTGATCCGTCACCACCCTCTTCTGATAAGGCGTCCGGTTATCTTCCTTTTTACCCTACTGGTAGAAATTACACACTCTGATTTTTCTGGTGTTTCTTTCTTTTATACTGACTGTTCTTTTGTGTAGGTTCTCCAACTCATGGGGTTGCTGATGCGTCATCGTCTCTCAACCCACAAGCAGCAGATATCCCTCCCTCTGAATCGATGCCGGTGACGACAAGTTCTTTGCCAGAAGCACCTCTTTCGCTAAAGATTCCCCTCAAATATGTGGGGACAGAGATTGTGTTGAGCTCAGCCCGAACAGGGGCGCTCATGGCTCTACCCTCCAGTCCTTCACATTTGGACATAACAATGGCTTCTCCGGCTTCTTCCCGATCATCACCTACTGTGCTCCCCATCGACATCTCTGATGAAGTCTCTAAGTCCAGTGGTCATCCCTTCCATTCTAAAAGTTCTTATACGACCGTTGGAAGATATGATGAAGATAGCGATTGAGGAGATCGGTGCTGGACGAGCTTCATTTGATTTTTTCAAACCAATACTCATGAATTCTTTGAACAACATTCGATATGTGGATGACGCTCGATTGTTCCAGCATTGCTCTGAAGGCATCTCTCGGTTGGAAAAAGATCTGAGGGCTTTGGAAGAATTACATCGAGCTGATCTTGCTGCCCAGGCTGCTTTAGTCTTTAATAATCTTCAAGCTGAAGCGGCCCGTCAATACGAAACTTTCCAAGAAGCCATCACTGAAAGGGAGCTTGAAATTGCATCCTTACAGGGGCAATGCATTCAGAAGCAACATGCTGTGGACGTCTCTGGTGCTGCCATACAAACGTCTCGTGCAGAAATTGATCGCCTCAGGGTGGAGTTGGCTCGACACGAGGCCGAGCTCGCGCGAGAGGAAGAGATCTTGAAAAAGCTCACACTGGAAAGCGTGAAAACTTATGCCACTTACCGTTCGTCGGTGCAGGACCTTGAACTTCTCCAAAAGAAAGCTAATGCAATTGAGCCGGACGAAAGCGCCCTTAAGAAGAAAGCCGAGGTGATGGTGCAGGCTGCTCACGAAGAAAGGCTCTCTGCTATTAAATCCCGGCTTGCGTATTTCGCTTTTACTGATCCAGAGGCTTAATCATGTATTGTTCTTTTCACTTGATAAGAACAGGGTTTTTGTATCACTCAATATTTCTGAGCAAAATAAAAAGAGTGATTCTGGTTTATATCTATTTATTGCATGTGTCGTGTCCCGACTTGCAACAATGAAACTATATGGAAAACACCCAACTTTTAAAATTTCCTTTACAATCATCTAAGATAATTCTAAATTTTTTTTAACTTGTTGGGGATGGGTATATGAACACTCGTTATTCCTTTGTAGGAGAATTAACTGGTTCAAACGGGTTAAAACTGTTAGAGATGGTTTGTTAACATAACAGAGATTTGGGAATCTATCGATCTATTGGAAAGAGTCGATAAGTGGATTTTTGTCAGAGGTGTAGTGTTAACGTGACAAGAAGAATATTGCTATAGGAGCAATTTTGAGGACTTATTGCTCTGTTGGAGAGAGTCGATACGTGGATTTTTGTCAGAGGTGTAGTGTTAATGTGACAAGAAGAATATTGTTATAGAAGTAATTTTGAGGACTTATCACTATATTGGAGAGAGTCGATAAGTAGATTTTTGCCAGAGGTGTAGTGTTAACGTGACAAGAAGAATATTGCTATAGGAGCATTGCTATAGGAGCAATTTTGAGGACTTATCGCTCTGTTGGAGAGAGTCGATAAGTAGATTTTTGCCAGAGGTGTAGTGTTAACGTGACAAGAAGAATATTGCTATAGGAGCAATTTTGAGGACTTATCGCTCTGTTGGAGAGAGTCGATAAGTAGATTTTTGTCAGAGGTGTAGTGTTAACGTAGCAAGAAGAATATTGCTATAGAAGTAATTTTGAGGACTTATCGCTCTATTGGAAAGAGTCGATAAGTGGATTTTTGTGAGAGGTGTAGTGTTAACGTGACAAGAAGAATATTGCTATAGAAGCAATTTTGAGGAATTACCGCTCTATTGGAGAGAGTCGATAAGTAGATTTTTGTCAGAGGTGTAATGTTAACGTGACAAGAAGAATATTGCTATAGAAGCAATTTTGGGGACTTATCGCTCTATTGGAGAGAGTCGATAAGTGGATTTTTGTCAGAGGTGTAGTGTTAACGTGACAAGAAGAATATTTTAGTATCTCGCTAGAGAGGACTTGCTAACAGATTTATCATCGAAGTGATGAGTTATGATACTTGTGATTTGAACAAGATTGTGGAATTTTATCACCCCATTGAAAGGAGTTGATAAACTGAGTATTTACTGCTCTGTTAGGGAGAGTTAGTAAATTGATCATGATTTGAATGATTTTGGAGACCTATTGTTCCCTTGATGAGAATCAATAAGTGGATTTTGATAGAGGAATTACTGTTACAATGATGTAAACTAAATTCAAGCTCTGTGGGGATGAGATCTGTCTGCGACATAATATTAACCTGACGGGGATTTAAACTCTGCTGGGGAAATACAGAAGTTTAACAATGCCATGCTAAAAGAGTTCATGAACTTAAGAAATAAGTATCATGTTTTGCCAATACAAAGATGTGTCCTTTGATTCAAATAATCACAATGCATGGGTGACTTTTGCATTTGAGATTCCAAAATGTAGAGTTAAGAACTCTTATAACGTAGGGCTAGGCCTGACATTTGAGACTTGAACGCAGAAGTGAACTCTGCGTTAAGATCTAATCGATCTTATCAATTAACGCAAAAGATTGCGTTTCAAAATCGGTTGGGATTCTTTCTTAGAGTCCCGAACCAATTTAACAGCTTGATGGCTGTTATAAATAGGCCTGTAAGGTCACATCAAGAGTCATTTGACTCTTTTGCCTTGCTTAGTTCCAAGAACGAGATTTCTCGTTTGAATTTCGGTCAATTTTCTGACGAACTCCGTCTTCTCCAATTAATCACCCGCATGGCGCCCAGGAGGATGAGTGCGGGTTCCAAGAAGGCTGCCAAGGCGGCTTTGGACGCGTTGCCGGCCGAGAACACCGGCGATGTCGCGGCTCCGATGAGCGCTTCGACACTACCGTCGCTGTCACATGGACCTCGTTGCTGTGGTAAGTGGTGGCCATGGCATCTTATTTCGACAAGTTTTCTGAAAACCCTAGATGAGTTCTCATCAACGAGGAAGATAACTCGTTTCTGTCTGAAACGCAGAGTTATAACTTCGTGTTAAAATAAAAAACACAGACTTAGGACCCTGCGTTTAGAAATTATAGAGCTAAGTCTCTATGTTAAAATTAGGAATGCAGAGTTAGGACTCTGTGTTAAAATTGAAAATGCAGACTTAGGACTCTGCGTTTGAGGAAACATAGAGTTAAGACTCCTATGTTTGGGTATGAAATTTGAACGCAGGACCTGGTTTAACCTCTGCGTTCCAGTATTATAACGCAAGGTTCAACCTCTGCGTTCAAATATTACAACGCAGGGTTTAACCTCTGCGTTCAAATATTACAACGCAGGGTTCAGCCTCTGCGTTTAAGTACTGATACAAGGGTTGGAACTTGTATTTAAAGCTTGGCACGTAGAATTTAACCTTCGTGTGTTAGCAACCTATTTCTGCTACTAACTATTGCTTCTGATTTTACAGTACCTTTTCCCAATGTACCACTTCTACCGGAGCAGCATTTCAACTACACTGATGCTCCAGAAGTGGGGAGAGCTTTTGGGCTTCGCAGAGAAATTCCTTTATGCACTTTTCCTAGCTTGGAGCGGGCACATTTAATTAGGTTTGCTGGGTGTTCCACCCTTAGGGCTCTGATCACTGATGTGGATCTAGACACTCCTGTGGGTTTGGACCAGTTCGTCAAACCATCATTTTTGTTCGGAGACCATATATCCGCCGATGGACAAGTTAGGTATGTCGAAGATTCTCAGATGCTGCGAAGAATCGATGATCAGTTGCTTTTTCTTCCAAGCATGAAGAGAATGTACCCGCTTTCATACTTCCTGAGTGTCGGTGGTCGTAGGGGCTTGGCCTTCGATCTTGTAAAGGAAAAAGAGAACATCTCATTCGGATCTGGTCGATCCTCTCGTGTTCAATTTGGCGGACAACTCAAAGGTCTGAGACCTGGTTGTTTTGAGAAAAAAAGGCTTCGCTCAGGAGACACCTCTTCCAGCGAACATTTTCGTGCGCCAGTTTATTGTTGCCCGATGCGAATTTCCTACACAAGCCTTCTGTTCTCCAGGCTGGTTATTTTCTGGAGAAGATGGCTGGTGGACCCGGATGGTGGATTTTGTTCTAGAAGAACTTAAGGAGCCCCTTGCTCAGTCTGGCCTCACGATACCAGTACATGCTACAAGACGCGGGATCATTCAGAACTATCCCTACTTCTTTGCTATACTGGAGCGGTACAATCCGAATAGCTGCACTTTTTTCACACCTGTTGGGGAGTTGGGATTTGTTCTCCATGAGATGCATGCGATATCGGGATTATCCTTCGGGCAAACGCCCTATGAAGAATTTATTCCCACCATCGAAGAACTCTCCCTCCTGAAGACTGCTCATCCAGAGATATACAGCACCTTTTGAGAGTTGATATGCCATTTCTACATCTGTGCTCAAGTCGCTGGGATGCGTGGTGGTGGTCTTATGCATACTGCGTGGGCAGATTACTTATTTCAGAACCTGGGTCAGAAAGACTTGATGGTGACCCAATTTGCTATAAGCTCTACTAAGAGTATTAAAGCCCGCATCAAGGCCCCTAATGCTATTTATAGGAACAGGTGTTTAGAAGATGGGTTTGAAGCTGACAGCGAATTTGAAAGTTTTCATCATCAAACTGCAATTCCTATCTCTGACACGGCCCTTCTTGCTGGTTTCTTGATGCTATGGTTGAAGCGGTGCGTCGTGCCAACGAAACCAGCTGAATCGATCTTGGTTGAGGTAGTCTACCCAGTCGTTCTTCTGGCTTACGGAAGACCTCTAAGTCTTCTCCCTGCAATGACAGGTTGTCTACAGAGGGGCTTACGGGATTTGATTTCTGAACTCCTAGACGTCAAGGAGATGAATGTTGCTGGGAAGAAAGTTCGGAAGACTTCTCAACCCCGCACACCAATGCCCTATACTTACTTAGTGGCTTGGTTTGTGCTGCATTGTCCCTCTTTGATGACGGGAATTGTACATGATAATGAAGCCTCTGTTCCTTTCATCCAGAGACTTGAGTCTGCCATGTGGACGTCCGTGCACATAGTCCGGGCTAGACAACTCTTGTCTTTGGAAGACAAGTATGATCTATTTTGCTGCCGCCCTTGTTTTGATGGGGCTGAAGAAGAAGGCCCGAAGTTTGGCGACGTGGTTTTCGAAGGATCTTCGCTTTTAAACACAGGGACTTTCCAATGGCATCTTGCTATCAGGGTGGGCTACCTGGTCTTCCGACTAGGCGAGAAATGCATCATTGAGCCAT